TGAATACAGCGGAAAACAAAAATAAAAAGCCTCAAGTTGAGACGAGATTCGAGGGAGTATAACTTAGCGTGCCGCAAAACAAAGACAGTCGGGGTACGGCGAGGGAGACCAAAAACCTGTTTCATGCTGATATGACTTAAAGTAACAAGGCGAGAGTATAAATATGGTGTAAGACAGTGAGCATACGAGTTGCTGGCGTATTCAATAGTGGATTGGATGAGGGATAAATAAAATATTCGCTTAGTTGTGTGGTCTACTGTACGGCGGCAGCGGCGGAATGCTCCTATCTTCTTATATTAGTTATAAACAGATGTACATACATGGTTGACTTGATCCTCAAAGGTGAGGTGTTGGGCTAGCTGTTGCCATGCATGGAAGGCGTTCGGGGGGGGGGGAACCCCAGAATTAGAGCTGAGCGAGTCATGAAGACTCACCATGCGCAAGAGTGCTAAACAATAGATGACAAATATCCGAGCCGCAAGTGCAGTGAGACGGTCTCAGCTACCTCAGTGCACCCTGTGTACCTGCAGGCTACACTGCGGGCACCCTACACTGTCTGTAGTGTGTGTAGATCTACATGAATTGATTGTACTTTTTTTGCCAGCATGGCTGAACGGTGCACGGCATGACACTGTTTATGTACATGAGCACATCACTGTCTTCAGCAACTCGTCAGTCATGTGCACTTGTAGGGTTAGCGGAAGTACAAGACTGTATAATGTGAAGAGAAGCCAGGCATCAAAACCAATCCAAAATACGTTTAAAACTCTCGTCATACTCTTAGGTGAAACAGTTAGAAAAAATTGTCTTACCAAAAAACAGTGAGCATAAAAGCAACCTCCATGCACCCAATAATATGGCATCCTGGAAGAGCAAGACAGTTATCGTTGGTTCTTTTGATGGCGGTGGATAGCATGGCACTTGACGTCTTCTTGGGATCCTCGTGCATTAGTGTTTCACAAGGATCTCAAGAAGACGCCAAGTACCATGCTACCCACCGCCATCAAAAGAACGAAGGATAACTGTGCTAGCCTGGTTCATATTCAATGTAGCGCGCTAACGGTACGGGATATAGGAGCCTTTTGGGAAGGCTTGGGTGAGCTGCAAAATCTTGTACGATTCGCACAGCATACATGCAGCAGTTATTGCAACGGTTAACATCAATGGGCGCGAGTCATAAAGCACAGCCCATGGGGGTTCACGTTTCTGGACTTCCCTTCTCTTTTTTACTTCTTCTCAAATACAGCGAAATCACGCTGATTGTAACAGTCTGTTATGAATACCAAGAAAGCAGCCATTGACGTTACTATAGCTGTGGTACGCGACGTCATGTTGGGACCAGTAGGCAATTCTATACGTCGGATGACTTCCCCTACTCGTGCTGGTTGTGGGAGGGACCAGTCATCCGCAAGACCCAAGGTGGGCAGAGCATCCCAGACCAGTCCACCACTCGTCACGTTCGTCCTAGTCTCAGTATCATTGTCTTTCTTTATTATTTTCGAGCTGGGAATGTGAACATAGTAAAAAAACAAAAAAAAACAATTCCCATTATTCATGGATCACACATGACGGGTTTACTTGGCTCTAGGAAAAAAAAAGAAAAAAGTAGTGTATCCAACAATGATAACATCGTGGATCCTACCCAGAGTAGCCCAAGTCCGAGTAGCCCAAGTCCAAGGCGAAGCCCTGCAGTCCTGCAGAGAGTCTCTTGGGCAAGGACAATGAATCCACGCGGAGAGCAGGTCCAGGAGCGAGTAAACGACTACACGACGAGCGTCACGTAAGTGATAGCATTGACGACAGCTCATTGCCTGTGTCGCGTGTGCTGCAGCTTCTCGACTCGTTTAGAGAGGAATTTCGGGGGATATGAGAATTGCACTTGCAGATATCCTAGCTCCTCTCGAAACCCGATGAGCAGGCTAAAGAGAGAGATATTGCAACTGCAAAACAGAGTGAGAAGTTGCAGACTGATGTCAACACATGCAAGGCAACAAGAGATAAGGCCAAGTCTGATGTCGACAATGGCGGGAATTTTTTTTACTTGAAAATTAAAAAAAATCACGGTTCGCGTGAGACTCGGCTGGAAGCCGGGCTTTCCGCATCCGTAGGAACGCCACCACCCTTCAAGGATCAAGGCGCAGATACAGCTCCTAAAGCGGTGGGAGGTGAGTAGATCAGCTCACCAGCAAGTGGTCAAAGACCGAAAATCCCATTCACTGCATCCATGTTTTCCTCGTGCCAGGCCACGAGTTCCCAATTAACTGTGGGTCGCAGCACGGCTGGAAAAAATCCTTCCGCTTCAACCACGCACCCAATTCGTAAAAGAAGAAAGAAGCAGGAAATGACAAAACAACAGACTAACAAGACATTGACTGAATGGGGCTGCAAATGCAACGCAGTAGTGGTGATGGGGTGCTGCAGGCTCCGCCGACCAATAGTCTCGGCATCCGCGCCTACTTCACGCATCAGATAATCGGGAGAAGAAGAGAAACAAAAGAGATTGAAAAAATATATAGCGAACGTATAGTGTGGAGAGAGAGAGAGAGAGAGAGAGAGAGAGAGAGAGAGAGAGAGAGAGAGAGAGAGAGAGAGAGAGAGAGAGAGAGAGAGAGATCCGCCATTGTTGTTGACCTTAGGCGCCAGATTGACGACCTCTCTGCCAAACTGAGTGATAATAATTTGCCAATAAGGTTGGCCTTGCTACATGTACATTGGTTCGCGAAACGATCGCTTCGCGCACACAGCTAGTGCATGTCATGCGTGACGTCATGGCAGAGGAGGTAGCGAAGCCGGACCGCAGCAACAACGCTGTTCTCCGTAGCCTAGTGGAAGCAGACGGGCAAAACTGCAGTCCAATCCATTGTACGGGGTATGGTTCCAGGTCTCGATGCTGGCTATGTCCTCAGCGCAGAGCGCAAGAAGCGACGTGAGGCTACTGGGAGCGCCCGTACTGGCCCAAGACTGGTCAAAGTCAAGCACACCGAGAAGGGAAAGAGAGTGTTAAAGGGGAAGTTAAGGCTAAAATCAAATTTTCACCAGTTGTAGTCTTCGGGGTGCTGAGTCGAATGGCCTTGGTACGAGGAAGCTAAAATGGGGATTTGTATGCAAAATTTCACTACATGCGCCAATGGCGCGTTTAGTGACATTTTGCATACAAATCCCCATCTAATAGGGCGTAGTCAACCAGTTTCGGTGGAAGTGCGCGAGTTCGATTGGGAATAAAGGAGGAAGGGAGCGTCTCAGCTTCCTCGGACCAAGACCATTCGACTCAGCACCCCGAAGACTACAACTGGTGAAAAATTGATTTAGCCTTAACTTCCACTTTAATGAATGGCAAACGTGCTGCTAAATATGGCGCACGTGATGTTTCCATCAACCACGATTTGACATCACAAGAGCAGGCCACACGTCGTGAGTTGATTCCCCAGTTTAAGGCTCTGGGGAGAAGAATTTTCCCTGCACCCTACCTCAGGACGTAATCCTGGGTAAGAGCCGTCCCATGAGCACTGATGAAATAGCTCATATGCGCATGGGAACCCTTCTGTTGCTGTAACATGTCCTATACCAGATTCAAAATCGAATATTGCTCATGTAAACATTTTTAGTATACGAAACAAAGTGCATGATGTTCACAAAGTATTGCATGACCATACCATGCACATACTATCCGTCAATGAGACATGGCTGGATGACTCCATCACTGACGCAGCCATCCAGATTCCACAGTACTAAGTCTTTCGCAATGCCCGTAATCGGCATGGCGGTGGTGTTGCACTCTACATCCAAAGTCACTTGGACGCAAGATTAATTCAACTCCCATCGTCAATTACCACGGCATTCCTTTCTATCCCGACTGTGTATGTTTAACTGCCTCATAATGTCGATCCTTCTATACAATTGCGGATTGTGGACTCTGTCCACATTGCTGAACGACAAACTGGACGAATGGCAACGGAGGAATCTACGCCTACTGATGCAGATTGTCTACCCGCAACGCATCACTAATATCAACTTACACGCAGAAACAAAACAATCTCCAGCTAGTGCCACATGCAGGCTGCTGTGGTTTGGCCATTGGTGTAATGTAAATCTTAATTTTAATTTGAATCGCAGTGAGGAGACCGTTTTTGGAGTTGAGAAGCGAAGTTTCCTAGGCATTGTTGATCTCATTACCTTGCATAACGTGGATATTGTATTCCTAGCGGAAACCTTCCTGACCCCGCTGTACCAGACTCAATCCTTAGCATACCTGACTCCGCGCTGCACGGGAAGGACAGACCTGGTCATGGCGGAGGCGCTGCTGCGTAGGTGCGAAGTACTCTATGCGCAAACCGAGCAGAGGCCCCCACCAACCATACCCTTGAGCACTTGTTTATCAAAGTATTATTAAAAGGTCCGTCACAGGAGTGTTCGATTTGGAAGAGTGTATCAACCTCCCAGAGCCCCTGTAAGACCTTGACTGAAAGATCCACTGTAGAGTGTTGTACAATGCTTAGTGTGGTGTATTATTTCCACTTGTTTTGCTTCTCTCCTCTTTTTATTTCACTTTTATTTCACGGTGTATGTAGACCAATGCTGTTGAGTGTTGTACTGGCGCACCTGGACACCAACTGTACTTCAGAGACCTCCAATAGTTTGTGGCCACCCATGGCATGAAGACATTTTGCTGAGTGTGAACCTGCGACGAGCCCAGAGTTGGACAGTTGCTGGTGACATGTAGCAGTTAGCAGCATTCACTCGCAGCACTTGTCAGGTGCCGCATTTCCTTTGCCCTCCTATGGCAGTCACTTTCGTTGCAAACAGGATCGGGCGAAGCACAGCAAAAAATAGTGGCTAGCTCTCTTCCACCTTTAGTACCAGTAGCAGTGTACCTACAACCGACTGCTACTGCTTCTGTTGCTTCTGGACCTGTTGCAGCTGGTCCCGTTGCCTCTGCTCCGGTTGCTTCTGCTTCGCGACCTTATCCAGGTCCTGGAATTATGAACAGAACCCCTGTTACCATGTTAACCCTGGTAGGTGCTGGTCAGCAGCACATTGCCACCAGCAACTTGGATCAGCAACACCACAGTGCCACCAGCAGCTTGGACCAGCAGCAGTTCAGTGATTCCTACTTCCACCAACATACGTTCACTCTCTTTCAGTACCGTGTCGCTAGCTTGCCGCAACCACCTGCTTTCATTCCCTTCGCCGCCTGTTTGGATCAGGAACAGTCGCCACCAGGTACAGTGCAGCAGCAGCATAGTGCCAACAGCAGCGTGTACCTTCAGCAGTGCAGTGCCACCAGCACGGTGCACCCGCAGCAGTATTCACTGCCGGATCCTGTTCCCTTGCTCCAAGTCATAACGGTGTACCCGAACCAGAGTGTGGAAGAAGCCGGAAGAGCAGCAACAGTGGCTAACCTCCCACACAGTGCAGCAGCACCACCAGCACCTGGAGACAGCAGCCAGCTTCCTGTTCCGCAAGCAGCCGCAGCAGCAGCATCACTCAGTTACAATGCTGCAACATACGGCGGCGGATCAGAGGATGGCCACCTTGCTGAAGAACCTTTTGATGTGGACGGAAATGGTGATGCGCAAGGTGACTTCGTTCCCAGTCCCAACCCTGGCCAGGATGACATGCGGTGCAGTTGGAGTACGGACCATGTGACTCCATGTGGCGAGCTATTCGACAGTATGGGTGATTTCGTGGAGCATGTTAACCAGCATGTGAATGCCATCTCTAATCGAAATTTTGCCTGTCGCTGGTCCACTTGTAAGCCAAAGAATGGCCCATTCAAAGCAAGGTACAAACTCATCAACCATGTTCGCGTACAAACGGGCGAGCAGCCGTTTATATGCTCAGAGTGTAACAAACGCTTAGCCAGGTCAGAAAATCGGAAAATCCACATTCGACTACACACCGGCGAGAGACCTTTCGAGTGCCCCTACACCCGCTGTAAGAAGAAATTTACAACCTCCTCTGACCGCAAGAAGCAAACGGTTGTCCACACTGGCGAGCGGGGATACGTTTGCAAACAGCCTGGCTGCGACAAAGGCTATATGCATCCAAGCTCTCTACGCAAGCATGTCTCTACATGCCACAAGCATGCCACCGCCCAAACCGATCCATAATCTTTACAAGCAATGCTCGGAAGTCAACATCTCCGAAGACACTAACATACACAATTTCAGTAGCACAATACAATCATATTGTTATTGCATGTTGTTGTTGTTCTTGTTGTTCTTGTTCTTGTTGTTCTTTTTGTTCTTGTTCTTGTTGTTGATGAACTTATAATTTTTTCTAAAAAGTTCCATTACAAACAGGCAAACTATACAAAAAAGACGAAAGAAAAGTTCCAACTCTGTTCCCTCCTCCATCCGCTTCTTTGACTCTCTGAAATTGTGCCTGCGTATTTTCTGTCCTCTTCTATTCTTGTGGAGCACCCTGGGATGCAATGCATCCGCGCCATGCTCTCTATGGTAACAGTGCTCCTGAAGGAGACCAACCAACACTCGGGAATGAATCACCGGCCAGCAATGCTGCAACATACGGCAGCCGATCAGAGGATGGCCACCTTGCTGAAGAACCTTTTGATGTGGACGGAAATGGTGATGCGCAAGGTGACTTCGGTCCCAGTCCCAACCCTGGCCAGGATGAAATGCGGTGCAGTTGGAACACGGACCATGTGACTCCATGTGGCGAGCTATTCGACAGTATGGGTGATTTCGTGGAGCATGTTAACCAGCATGTGAATGCCATCTCTAATCGACATTTTGCCTGTCGCTGGTCCACTTGTAAGCCAAAGAATGGCCCATTCAAAGCAAGGTACAAACTCATCAACCATGTTCGCGTACATACGGGCGAGCAGCCGTTTATATGCTCAGAGTGTAACAAACGCTTAGCCAGGTCAGAAAATCGGAAAATCCACATTCGACAACACACCGGCGAGAGACCTTTCGAGTGCCCCTACACCCGCCGGAAGAAGAAATTTACAACCTCCTCTGACCGCAAGAAACAAACGGTTTTCCACACTGGCGAGCGGGGATACGTTTGCAAACAGCCTGGCTGCGACAAAGGCTATATGCATCCAAGCTCTCTACGCAAGCATATCTCTACATGCCACAAGCATGCCACCGCCCAAACTGATCCATAATCTGTATAAGCAATGCTCGGAAGTCAACATCTCCGAAGACCTTAACATTCAAAATTTCAGTAGCACAATACAATCATATTGTTATTGCATGTTGTTGTTGTTCTTGTTGTTCTTGTTCTTGTTGTTCTTTTTGTTCTTGTTCTTGTTGTTGATGAACTTATAGTTTTTTCTAAAAAGTTTCATTACAAACAGGCAAACTATACAAAAAAGATGAAAGAAAAGTTCCAACTCTGTTCCCTCCTCCATCCACTTCTTTGACTCTCTGAAATTGTGCCTGCGTATTTTCTGTCCTCTTTTATTCTTGTGGAGCACCCTGGGATGCAATGCATCCGCGCCATGCTCTCTATGGTAACAGTGCTCCTGAAGGAGACCAACCAATACTCGGGTATGAATCACAGGCCAGCAATATTGCATCATACGGCTGCGGATCAGAGGATGGCCACCTTGCTGAAGAACCTTTAGGTCTGCATGGAAACAGTGATGGGCAAGGTGACGTCGGTCCCAGTCCTAACCCGGACCAGGACGAAATGCGGTGCAGTTGGAACACGGACCACGTGACTCCATGTGGCGAGATATTCGACAGTATAGGTGATTTCGTGGAGCATGTTAACCAGCATGTGAATGCCATCTCAATCAACATTTTGCCTGTCGCTGGTCCAATTGTATGAGAAACGAGCTCACGTTCAGAGCAAGGTACAAACTCATCAACCATGTTCGCCTCCATACGGGTCAGTAGCCGTTTGTGTGCACAGAGTGCAGCTAACCCTTTGCCAGGTCAGAAAGTCGGCGCATCCTCATGCGAGTTCATACCGGCGAGAGACCTTTCGAATGCACCCACTCCGGCAGTAAGAAGAAATCTTCAAACTCCTCTGACCGCAAGAAACATTATAGCAATAAAAACTGCTTTATGGCAGCTTTCTCAAAAACGTTATTGTGTTCTAGTCATGGGTGCTTCTACTATAGAAAATTTATAAAATATTATTTTGCTTTCCAAACCTTGGACTCCGTCTAAAAAGTATGACATTAACGAAAATTATTAATGTATACAAAAGAAAAAGACCAAGGAACTCTAAGTTACGCTATACAAATACTGTCCACTAACACCACCAGTTACTAAACAATCAGCTCATGCGATAACATTGCACGACACTGACCGACGGTACTGACGTTCTATAACTAACTGGCTAACAGCTGTAGCACATCTTGGATGCGCACTCCAACAGCCTTCCAACTTGGAAGGTTCTAAGTTATAGAAATAACATAATGAGGGGAAGGTGAGCGCAACCAAGATAAGCACGAGCTGAAAGTCTCAGCTGTGAAGGACGTTGGCGGATGTTCATGCATGTCGATGACGATATTGGCAAGACCATTGGACAATACGGTCAAACCACGATTCAAGAACGCAAAGCAACATTCCACACAACTTGTGTGGCTCAAAAGATGCGAAGATTAATAAAAGGGGAAGTTATGCGAACAAGAATCATGAAAAACCGAGCGGCTCAGTAAAACAGCACTGTACTTCGACTATGACAATTTAGATGGACAATAAGCAGCGGTAACAAGCAGCAGTTTCACACGGCGATCGTTTCGCCGTATAGATATAGACGGCTCATCAGGTGTGCAGGAATGGACTCAGATGGAGAGCCAGGGTTTAATTTATACAAAAGAGAAAGACAAAGGAACTACAAGTTTCGCTATACTGTCCACTAACACCACCAGTTACTAAACAATCAGCTCATGCGATAACATTGCACGACACTGACCGACGGTACTGACGTTCTACAACTAACTGGCTAACAGCTCTCTCTCCATCTCCATCTCTCCGTCTATATCTACACGGCGAAACGATCGTCGTGTGAAACTGCTGCTTGTAAACAGATAGCTAAAGTAAACAGGGAAAATTCGTGACCTATGCACATAGCAATAATGACACAAAGGTGCAAGTGCGAGAAAACTCAATAAGCGTGACATATAGTGCGACAACAAAAGACAACCACTGGACATAACTAACGATCTTTTGACAACCTACCTAACAGCCTAAGTGTGAATTTAAGTTGCTTCTGCTTGCAATAGAAGCAAATTAAAGTCATACTTAGGCTGTTAGGAGGCGCCATCACTAGCCCATAGGGCTTGCCGTCATGCTGCGCCACCATACCACAGAAGCGCTTCAGAAGCGGCGTACCTTCAGTGGATGTGCTGCCAGCCGTGGTAGAGACTTGACTTCGGACCTACATGTAGAATATTGCGAAGATCAACATTCAGTCTTCATTATGAAGACTGGCCTGGTTATTACGGATGCATGTCATGATTGGAAGCTGTGGCCTTAGTAAAAAAATTCCAATCCGGTTGTTCACTCAAGGATATGTTGGTGTCGTCATCGTTGTCTCGCCTTGAGTGCCCTAGAGAAGTGTGAATGCCTGTTGAGTGTCGTGCCTGTGATGCCGGTATACACGTTGGTAAAATGTGTGTCCCCGGATGTCATTTGCTCAACGTTGTGCTCAGTGCGTGCGGACGAGTATGTTGGTGAGACGGAAAGAACTATTCGTAAGCGTTTTGAAGAGCATTGTAGATAGGCGAGAGCACGGGCAGTGGACACACCATGGGGAGAGCATTACGCACATCACCACCCACATCACACCCTCCTGGCCAACTAGCCCCTGTGACGTCATGTAGACTACTAGAACTTGTATGGGTTATCCTTCCAAATTAAACTCCCAAGGTAAAGGGTGCTTGCGCCTTGACGAGTTCTCCGCATCCCAGTGTTTGTTTGCAAAGTGGTACTGGAATAACGCAGTCATTGCCTACCTATGCTCGGGACTCTGGTCAGATTTGCCTTAACTTGTGAACAGTTCTTCCTCCTGACCGGGAAAATGCCTGCTCAGTACTGGAATGGGACAAACTCGATCATGACTGTACAATGTAGTGTACTTGCAGTGTCCTTGCAGTGTACCATGGTGTACAGTGTAAAGTGTACATGGTGTGGTGTGTTTCTCTCCGGGCTCTCTGCCCGCTGGCCACTCGGGTATCAACGACGTGTGCGACTGCCGGGGAAGATCCGCGATCTGAAGCCAACACTGTGGCAGCACTGTGCCAGGCACGGAGACGGAGTCTGTGAATCTGTGATCACTAATCGAAGCCAACTGAGCATGGCAACACTTGAACCAACAGTAAGAGGCCAACAGTCAGAGTAGTCTAAGGTCCAAGGTGGTATTTTCTAGAAACTCGTAACCTATAGGAGCTCACAACTGTTTTAGAGCTGTTTCTGACTAAGTTGTGGCTGCTGAAGACGATAAGTATCGGCAAGTCTGTACAGTTGTCCGTTTGTTAGATATGGCAATCTTCCGCACCATAGGGAAATTGTACATGACTGTCCTCTAACCCAGTCATTCTAGAGTACAGTGGCTGCATGCGTTCGATTATGCACTTGAATCGATTCATGAATCCATTCGCATGCATTCTCACAATTTCTTTAGAGCTGTTTCTGACTAAGTTGTGGCTGCTGAAGACGATAAAAGTATTTTCAAGTCTGTACAATTGTCCGTTTGTCAGATATAGCGATCTTCCGCTGCATACGGAAATCCCTGATACAAATTTCGTGTAGGTGCTACAAAAAATGAAAAGTACATTGCCTGTGTCATGTACTCAAGCGCAGCAGCAATGAGAATACAGTAGCAATGACTCTGAGCCGACATAATTAAATACAAGTGAAAATACAAAACTATTTACATGTCTGTCTCAAGAGGCGCTGCAGCGGCTGCACCTATTAAGTATCAGGCCGTCGCCGCTGAAGGCTGACGTCACAGCTTCTTGACAACGCGTAGTTACTTGGCCAAGTGGTGACAAACAAAAGTTTGTTTGTTTGTTTGTTTGTTTATTTATTTACGGATTCTCCAGAGGTAAATGGATACCTATCATGGGAGTCTCACCAAACCAATAAAATAATGAAAATAAAATTATGTATGGAGCGCAAAAAACTCA